ATTGAGGCCAGTCGATCTGGGTGTTCCTCCCCAAGTGTGCGCTTCTCAATGTCGACTACCTGTTGTAGTAACGCTAATGCCTCGTCGATCTGTCCGTTCGCTTCATATACTGTCGCTAGCGCATGTATCGAGGCCAGTCGATCTGGGTGTTCCTCCGCGAGTATGCGCTTCCTGATCTCGACCACCTGTTCTAATAACGCCAATGCGTCGTTAATCTGTCCGTTCGCTTCATATACTATCGCTAGCTCATGTAGTGAGTCTAGTCGGTCTGGGTGTTCCTCCGCGAATATACGCTTCTGGATCTCGACCACCTGTTGTAGTAACGCTAATGCGTCGTTGATCTGTCCGTTCGCTTCATATACTCTCGCTAGCTTATGCATTGAGGTTAGTCGATCTCGGTCTTCCTCCTTGAGCGTACATTTATCGATCCCGACCACCTGCGTTAGAATCCCTATTGCTTCCTTGGTCCTGCCAGCATCCTCCAAGTTCAATCCCTTTAGCTGGTACAATTTCACCCACCTTTCACTCACCTTTAATTGATCCAAATTCAAGTGACTGAACAACCTCTCTAGTATTAAAGAGAGATGATTATCGTCCCTGAACATCTGTAATATCCACCCGCACCTCGAAAACACCGCCACAATCAATGTTGCTGGATCCCGACCAAACATCGACTGCATGTCCCACGATGTAACCGCATGGATATGAGGCTGCAGCTGCCGTGCGCGCATGCTCCAGAAATCTCTGTCATCCCAAGCTACCGCTATAAGACAACACATTTTAAGCCAGGATTCGTGCCGGTCGAAATCATCTTGGCGATCCCGTGCCCAAGCATGAACGAGTGGGTGCATTGAAACGGTCCTATCACCTTCGCGGGCCTCCTCCACGGAGATGAGGGCGAATGCTTTGAGCATCTGCAAGGCCTCCGTGAGCCGAAAGGAATCCCACTCTTCTGCATTGGCTTGAATCACGGACGGAAGGCGAAACATGTGCCAGTTTGTCAGGTCTCTGCGCTCGTTGTGGTCGTCTGAGAAGTAGTCAGAGGTTAATAAAGTGTGTGCACATTTCCACCCGATGTCAAACAACTTAAGGGGGATCTGATTTGGTCCGCATACCGCCAGCATCGGCAATAGTTCGAGCGCATCACGGGTTGATTCCGTCGATGTCGCGTCAAGGATTTCAACCGAGGCCTCGAACGTTGCGTAGACGTCACGATACCGTGATTGAGCTTGGTTGGGCCGGAAAGTGAGAAGTCGTTTTCTTTGACGTCTGTATACTTCGGGGTACTTTGCTAAGGTGCAGTGGCCGCGTGCCACATATGCTCCGGCCTGAATCAGTGCCAGAGCGTGAGAGTGAAGCAGCTCGGCCACTTTGTCTGCATCATTCTTCACAGTTGGGCGTTTATTTTCTTCGACGCATGCTGCTTTCAGCAGGAGCTCTCGCGAATCAGCTAGAGTGAGACCTTCTAGATCGATGTACCGGGCCGTGGCGTACTGCTGGCACTCGTGGTTGCGCGACGTCAGCACCACGACGCCCGACGGGCCAGGTGGGAAGTAGTCTTGATAGTCAACTTTGGGGTCGTCAGCGTTGTCCAGCACCAGTATCCATGGTTGTTGAACATTGGTTAGCCCTTGTCGCCCGTCTTCCCATGTTTTTGCCGGTACTTTCAGCCGGTTCGCGATGTCTAAGAACCCGTTCTCTGCCAAGGGTCTGGTGCTGACGTCGACCCAAAAGACGCCCCAGAATCTGGACGTAGGTATTGAAGTAGTTAGTCGGAAATGAGGACACGGCACGTGGGATATAGACTTACAGAGTGCGGGCTCGGTGAGCGAGCTGCAAGCAGAGCTCGCTCTTACCCTGACCACCTATGCCTGAAATGACAATCCTGCATTGAGTCTGCGGTACAGGATTCTTGACAGCCTCACGAACGATGGTACCCAACTCGTCGAGCAGATCATTTCGCCCCACAAACAATGTGTTGGGAGAGCGAGTAACGGTCCAATGTACAGGATTTGTGATTAAATCGATTCCTGGAGGGATCGGCATCCCCCTGCTGCACTCACCTGGGCGTCCCTGTTCGACTGCATCTCGGGCTGGCCTATCTATGTTTCTCCACTCTTCCAGCATCGCCTTGGTGCAAGCAGCCGCCGTCGCAGCTGCGTATGCTTGCCACTGCTTATTTTTGTGGCTGTCTGAATAGTCGCACACGCTCTTGATTACAATTGTAGGGAGATATTCCCAGGCGCCTGCGCTTTCCATCTCAAACCCAATGACCTTCTCCTCAGCCGCAACACGATCTCGGTGTACACCACTCTTCATAACGGTGTTGCTGCACGCTATTCGACCAAAGCGGATGGCTGGTCTTCCGGCACCTCCTTGAGAGCTACCCAATGCTCGTTGAACACAAGTGCCCCCGTCAATGATGTCGTTGCCACAACCTAGAGTCTCACAATCGCTCTGCAAGGCTGTCTCGCAAACATCGTCATTGGATCCGTTGCAGGCTTCGCAAGTGCCGCAGGGTTGTGTTCGATGCTTGTGTCGGTAGTCAGCAGGATACAGTTTGTCATTCTCTGGTCCAGGATAGACGGATCCTGAAAATCCTTCCGTTGTGCCAATATGGGCGGAGAAGGTGGTAATCTTGTTTCGGAGCCTCTTCTGGACTAGATAGCCTGAAATCTTCCCAATATACGCTCGAACTTCTGGGGCCGCTCGCCCAAGAGTGTCCTCAAGCTCTCTCTTTCTGATATACATGTTCGGGTATTGCCGGCCAAAGTCAATCTGAATCACCGACATGCTCACAATGATATCGCCTAGCAGGATCTCGGCGCCCTCAGGAGTCGTCGGAACGCCGCCACAAACACCAACAATCATGGCCAGTCTGATTCCTCGAAAGCTGGAGCGAAGATTGGCAGCCACTGCAGCCGAGTTAATCATGCCCATACTTGGCATATAAGCCAGAACCACATGTTGATTACCCAGTCGCCCCGTGGTGTAGGCATTCAAATCTTCCGCCGCTTTGCCGTAGGAAAAGCCACCGGTCTCGTATTCTTTTTCCAACAGTACCTCCACGGCGTTGCGCTCCAAGGGTAAGGCGCAGATAATGGCGATTTCGAAGTCGTCACGGCTCCGGGGACGAGGGGGACGCTCCTCGGGATTCATGTCGAGATACGGAGTTAAGCAGACGGGATGGAGTTCGGTTCAGTCAGGACGAGAATCTGAAGAGACTTTGCGTTCAACGATCGCTTGGGCATTGACGGAAGTGCGCAAGGAGGATCCCAGCGCAGGCAACATTGTCCCTCAGCCTCACGGCGCGTAAGTTGCGCTGGCAATCCTCCACCAATCTTTGCTTGCTCTTCTGCAGGGCGCTTAGCGAGAACAAATCCAGGCTAGTGTCTTTAACCTTGTCCGGCGGCATGCCCGAGCTGAGCGATAGATGACACAGTCTGAAACAGAATGTACTCCGTACACGGGCCCTAAAGTGGCCGAATGAGGGTCACATATTGCCGTCGCTTTATCAACACAGGTAACGACATGAGAAAGGGTAGATAGATACCCTTAGTACAAAGATTAGTGAGATGAACGAAATGCCTAACTATGTACCTAGGTAGGTATCGACGAAACGTCACCTCGGGATCTAGTAGGTAGCCGAATCAGCTTCAGCTGACTACGGGGTACTTTGTCTGACCATCCTAATGACTTTGCATCCAGCATTGCCCGCTCAACGAACGCCGCGCCCAGAAACAGCAACATCAGACGAGGCTATCTGGGAACCCCCCCGGTACGCTTTCCGATATCCTTGAAGCCAGAGCGTGAACGCAACCCACCATGGATGCGGATGTGAGCGAGCAAATGTCCCGGTTTGCAGTGCCAAAGAGATCGGACAAACTGCAGCGGGGGAATCTCCACGAAATTCGATTCCTGCTTCCTGCTGCACAGTTCCCGACCACACAATCAAATGGTCCCCCCAAGCATGGCCCGCCTTCGAAACGCAAAGGATAGAGATCATCCACTCACAGACGGGACCAAGGTGTCTATCTCATCCCGCAGCTCGTCCTGCCCCGGATTTGCTGCTCGAGGCTCGCCCTGATCCGGTGCCGCAGCCGAAAGGCCATTACCCCACAAGTCGCTCTCATTGGACAGTGAGATCCACATGTGAATTGCATGGAGGATCAGTGACGGATACACTACGTGCCCGTTGTGGAAGGTATATATGCATGCGACCTTGCTGATGCGTGCAATTTCTAAGATCCTGCTTACAGGCCATACTCTCCTGACTGATAGATAAACCATTCATGGTTATAACTGATCGTTCATTGTGCCGTCTTTGAACCTTGAGCGAACCTCCATCCACCACCATGGCACAGGGACCAAGAGCGCCCGGCCCGCAATCCGAGGTCGATGTCCTCATCATCGGTGCAGGGCCGGCAGGCCTGATGATGGCGAATTGGATGAGTCGGTGTGGGATTCGGACGAGAATAGTGGACAAACGAGGGACCAAGGTGAGATTTCCCGTCGAGTGGTTGATCAATTCAACATACAAGCATAAGCCTCTGTCTGTTCTCGGAGAAGCTGACGAAGCCAGATCTTCAACGGCCAAGCGGACGGACTCCAATGCCGGACGCTGGAGATCTTTGACAGCTTCGATTTCGCACACCGCGCCTGGATAGAGTCAAACCACATGCTCGAAATCTGCCTCTGGAATCCAGATCCGAAGACGGGAATCATCCACCGCTCCGACCGTATCCCGGACACCATCCCAAACATCTCGCGCTTTCAGCAGGTGGTCCTACATCAGGGACGCATTGAACGATTCTTTCTCGACTCCATTTCCGAACACAGCAAGAGAACACTCAAGGATGTACCGGGGTGGGAGGAGGGCATCAAAGTCGAGCACGGCGTCATGCCCGCGTCCTTTGAGTTTGATGAAAGCCTTGCTGAAGACAACGACGCTTACCCTATCACCGTGAAGCTTCGACATCTGAGTGAGCATGAAGCAACCCCCAAACAGGCTGCGACCAGCCTGAACGGTTCCGGGTTACAGGACGGACTCTTCCGCAGCAACCTCTCGCCGGACGACACTAAAGAATTGCTGGAGAAGTCGAAAGCGTTGCGAGAGAAGGAAGGACGAGAGGAGACGGTCAAAGCAAAATACATGCTTGGCGCAGACGGCGCCCACAGCTGGGTCAGAGACCAGCTCGGCTTCAAACTCCAAGGGGAAAGCACCGATTATATCTGGGGCGTGCTCGACATCATCCCCATCACCGACTTCCCCGATATCCGGATGAGGTGTGCCATTCACAGCGAGAGCAGTGGCAGTGTGATGGTGATCCCGCGAGAGAACAAGCTGGTCAGACTATACATCCAACTGACGACGATGGAGAACGCTGGAGGCGGCAAGAGGGCGGATCGGAGCAAGATCAACCCAGACACGATTCTGGCCAGTGCACAGAGGATCATGAAGCCTTACAAGATCGACTATCGCTACTGCGACTGGTGGACAGCCTACCAGATTGGGCAACGTGTGGGTGATAGCTTCAGTCTGAAGGAGAGGGTCTTTCTGGCAGGCGACGCCGTTCACACTCACAGTCCAAAGGTACATCTGCTCCCAACTCGTCAACCCAGGGAGCCTCTAGCTAACATCACCAACAGGCCGGCCAAGGCATGAACGTTAGTATGCAAGATGGTGAGTACAACCATGTTCTGGCATCGGGAATGATAGAACTAATCGGTGGCTCCAGCTTTCAACCTCGGATGGAAAGTCGCCAGCGTCGTCAAGGGCACCAGCAACCGGTCCATCCTCAAGACATACCAATCCGAGCGGCGCAGGATAGCGCAGGACCTGATCGACTTCGACCACCGGTTCTCGCGGCTCTTCTCGGGGCGGCCGGCCAAGGACGTGCTGGACGAGGAAGGCATCTCGATGGAGGAGTTCAAGAACGCGTTCGAAAAGGGCAACCTGTTCGCCAGCGGCGTGGCCGTCGACTACGGCGCGAGCGTCATCGTGGCCAAGTCCGGCGACAGCACCGCACAGGGCGACGGCACCGAGGTGCTGGGCGAGGAGAAGCTGCGCGTCATCAGCACCCAGGACCGGGCCTCGGAGGTCAAGGTCGGCATGCGCATGCCGTCGTTCAAGGTGCTCAACCAGGCCGACGCGCGCCCATGGCACTTCCAGGAGCTGCTGAAGAGCAACGGCGCGTGGCGCCTGGTGGTGTTCGCGGGGGATATCGTGGGCAACCCATCCCAAAAGGCCCGGCTGGACCGGCTGGGCGAGAAGCTGGGGGGGGCGACGTCGTTCCTGAAGCGCTTCACGCCGCCGCAGCGCCGGTACGACGCGGTGATCGAGGTGCTCTCGGTGCACGCGTCCAAGCGGCAGGACGTGACCATTTTCGACTTCCCCGAGGCGTTCCGGCCCTGGGACGCGCGCGACGGCTGGGACTACTGGAAGATCCACGTCGACGACGTCAGCTACCACGAGGGCTACGGCGACGCCTACACCCACTACGGCGTCGACCGCGCCCGCGGCTGCGCCGTCATCCTGCGGCCCGACCAGTACGTCAGCTGGGTCGGCGACATGGACGACTACGAGAGCATGGACAAGTTCTTCAGCGGCTTCATGGTCGAGCAGCCCCAACTACACCCGTTGAAGACTGAGACGGTGGGTTCCGAGGGCGTCAGCCGCGTCTCGCTCAAGGACGCAGACGACGCGGGCATCCAGGCGACGAACGGCGCAGTGGTCGGCGTGGCGGCGGCATGATGTTGTTGTTGTTGCTTTGTCCTTGGAAATGTGAATCGATCTATCCACAAAGGAAGTACTATAGTGCGCAAATCTAGAGCCATTTCTGCCTATCATTCCCTCATCACCGACCGCTCACCGCTCTGCTCATTGTTAGCTCCCGTCTCGCTTCCTACTTGTAGCCCACTGCTCTGGGAGAGTTTCTTCCCTCCTGCGTGTTGGTTGCCGCTGTCTGTTTCGGCCTCGACTCCGTCGCCCTTCGGCCACCCACTCCGAAAACTCAGACCATGTGGATAATCTCTCCTCGCACTTTCACCCGCTCTATTCGACCTTTGAGCCCGCTCAGAGACTGTGGAAAGCGAATAAGCAGCGGAATGTATAGGGTGAGTACGGTCAGACGACTCGGGAGGCGTCGGTAAAGGGTACTTAGTCCCAAAAAGTCCGCGACTGGATATTCGCCTTGAAGACAGCCTCACAAGCTCTTTCTTTCTTATACACCTGCTATTTATCGTGAGCTTGGCTGGTTGTCCGGTACTCCTTAAGAGGGAGAGCAGCTCAGTGGCTGGAAGAATCCTCAATCATTCTTTTTCTCATCATTTATTCCTTTGCATAGACGGACTGTTATTTAAGATCACTGTTGGGGACGGTAAGCAGTGCACACGTCCAGGAAAATCCAGGAAAAATAACGTCGAACTGCTACATCCAAGATGCTAACCAAACCACCGATCCGGATTGGCAACGTCTCAGGCGCCACGGGGGACCATCCGCACGCCATGAAACGCATGGTCGAGTCCGGCGACGTCCATGTCATCACGGGCGACTGGCTGTCCGAGATGAACATTGCGTGGAACGCCATCACCAAGCGAGACGTCGACCCGGACCTGGGCTACGAGGACGGCTTCTACCTGCAGCTGGAGGAGTGCCTGGACCAGATCATGGAGCAGGATATCAAGGTGGCCACCAACGCAGGCGCCTTGAACACTATGAGTCTCTTCCGCAAGGTCCAGGCGCTTTGCGTGGCACGCGGGTACAAGGACACGGTGGTCGCCGCCGTGCTGGGAGACGACGTCTCGGAGCTGGTCACAGATCCCGACAAGAGGCGTGCTTCGAGATTCCCGCACCTCGATCACCCAGAGCGGACGCTCGACGAATGGCACCTGGACCCCATCTGCGCCAATGCGTACATCGGCTGTCGTGGCATCGCTAAGGCCCTGGAAGCCGGTGCCAGCATCGTCATCTGCGGGCGCTGTACCGATGCGTCGCCCGTCATGGGGGCGGCGGCGTGGTATTTTGGCTGGCGCGAGGACCAGTACACCGAACTGGCCGGCTCGCTGCTCGCGGCGCACCTGATCGAGTGTGGGCCTTACGTTGTGGGGGCCAATTTCTCGGGCTTCAAGGGGTTTTTGCCAGACCTGGTCGATCTGGCCTTTCCCATTGCCGAGATCGACTCCGCCGGCGGATGCATCATCACCAAGTCCGCTCAAGGAGGAGGTCGCGTGACCCCCGAGACGGTCAAGGCGCAGTTGCTGTACGAGCTACAAGGACATCTCTACCTCAACCCGGACGTCGTGGCGGATCTGTCGCAGGTCCAGGTGGAGGAGGCCCAAGATGCAAGCCAAAGAGATCGGGTCATGGTCCACGGGGTCAAAGGCCTGCCGCCGCCTCCAACGACAAAAGTCATGGTCGCCGCGCCAGGCGGGTACCAGGCCGAAGCAACCTTCTACATCAACGGACTGGACGTGGAAGCCAAGGCTGCCATGATGCGCCGACAGCTGGAGCACATCTTGCAGGGGAACAAATTCAGCCGATTCAGCGTGGAGCAGTACGGATCCCAGGTCGACAGTCCGCGGTCGCAACAGGCCGGCACCGTCCAGCTGCGTGTCTTCGCCCAGGCCAGGAACAGGGCCGACATCGAGGCGTCCGCGTTCAAGACCCCCATCTACGCCCTGCGCATGCAGAGCTATCCCGGCTACCACATGAACCTGGACTTCCGGACCATGGACCCCAAGCCGTTCATGGAGATCTTCCCGGCCCTGATGCCGCTGTCGATGGTTGATCACCGCGTGGTCCTCAGCACCGGCCAGACCGTCAAGGTTGATCCGCCACAAACGACGGCCGAGTACCCGGTGCAGCGCCCTTCTTCGGAGACGGAGGCTCCTATCGACTTGAAATCCCTCGGCCCTACTGAAACGGCGCCCCTGGGAAGCATTGTCCACGCGCGATCCGGCGACAAGGCGGACAATTCCAACATTGGGTTCTTCGTCCGCCACCGCGACGAGTACCCCTGGCTGCGGACCTACTTGACCGTCCCGCGCTTGAAGGAACTGTTCGGCGACGACTGGCAGAAGGGAGACCCCGATCGGAGGGTGGAGCGAGTGGAGTTTCCCGGGATCAATGCAGTGCATTTGTCAGTAATCGTGAATCCGTTTCCCTTTTTGTTTCCTTGCCGAAAACTGCCCTCAGGGTGTGTAATGCTGACTGAGCCGATAACAGCCGAGTCCTCGACAACCTCAACGGCGGCATCGCGTCTTCAGACCGTATCGACGGTCTCGGAAAGGGCGTCGCAGAGTTCCTCCGAAGCAGACACGCCGAGATTCCAACTCGCTTCCTCCAACGAGGCTGGATTTGAGGCCACGGCGGCGGCCCACCAAGTACATCCAACAGGTTCACATATGCTGGCCGAAGATCATTGAAGCAAGAAGTCGCGTTAGGTTCTCAAACGTCGATCTGTCGCCCCGAAGAAGCACAGAAATGGAGTTGCCCGATTTCTAGACGTCTGGGGTGCTACAGGGATCCTGCATACCGAAGAACCAGTATTGATAAAGCCGGGCAGTGGCATCTCCACCATATTGGTCGGTACATCAACTTTGCAACTTTGCAAGTCATCAAAGCACCTGCAGTCTTGCAGGGCGCTGTCGACTACCATGTGGCTAGAACTCGCCTGCTATGCTTGATCAATGTCTGGTATCGCGGGTAATTGCAGGCCCTGCGAGTCTGTGCCTCGAGAATGTCCGCGAGCACGGCGTCGCTCAGACGGTCAAAGACGCGCGAAACAGCTCCCGGCCGTGCTCCAGCGTTCCGGGACCGCGACGACGAGGGACATTTGAGCCTAGATAGCGTGTTTGCCACAAGGCGTTTTACCAACGTAGTATCCATCGGCCGTGTCCATCGGCCGAGGAGCCCGATGCCCCATAAAATGCGCGGCTACCGGGGCCGAACGCGAATGAGAAGAGGGATTTGCAAGACTATTTCTCCACTACGCCGCTCTATTAGTTTGATGCTTTGGGACCATTGAATCTGCCGCGACTTAGTACCTCGAGTCAACATCGGCAAGATGCCACTACCGAGTATATAACTCCCCCCTACAAAGGAACTTTTCATCGCCCTCACCTCTCTGAGAAACAATGCATCTCGAAAAAGTCAGTCTCTAGTCAAGCACGACCTTACATCCCTCCAAGCTCGACACCACCAGCGTCAGCATCTGCTTCTCCTCCCCGGTCGGCACGACTTCCGTCCCAGGCGCAAGCCGCAGGGCCGGATACGCCTGGAGGAGCCGGACGAGGGCGTAGCTTGCTTCCGACAGCGCAAAGTCCTTGCCCAAGCACGTCCTGAACCCGTGGAGGAACGGGATGTAGGCGCAGCCAATGTTGGAAAGCTTGCCGTCCAGCCACCGTTCTGGTCGGTAGTCGTGGGCGTCCTCACCGAAGAGCTCCTTGCGCCGATGCATGTGGTACGGGCTAAAGGTGATGCCGGCGTTCTTGGGGACGAGCACTGGTGACTCCCCGTCCGGGCCACCGCCTTTGGGGAGGAATGTCGTCCGGACTGTGGACCTGGTGTTCATCGGGACCTGTGGATAGAGCCGTAGGGCTGCATGCAGCATTTTGGTCAGCTGTTGTGCGCTCTTCTTGATGAAGGGAGCTTCAGAAAGGTAGAAGAGAACTCACTTTCGTTCAGCACGGCATTTAGATAAGGCATGTTCTTCGTGTGCGATCTCCTAATCACCGTCTCGGAGCCGGTGACCTCATCGATCTCTTCACGCAGCCGCTGCATCATCTCCGGATGACGAACAAGATGGAACACTGCCCAAGACATGGTGCACGCTGTGGTGTCTCGTCCAGCCAGCAACACGTTGACGAGCTGGTCCCGCACCAACGATCGATCTTGGTACTCTGTGTAAAGATCAAAAATGAAGGGATATTTTTCGGTAGCCTTTTCTTGACCGTGCTCACGCGCGTACTGGAATGCTCTCTCGATGAAGTGGTCCGCGTAGCGCTTAACGATCCTGCACGACTTCCGATAGCTCGGAGTGTTGTACAGGAAGCTCAGATGTGCCAAGGGCAGTCGTACGGCGGTAACCCAAGTCGCGCAGTCGAAATGTTCGGCAAACTCGTCCTGCTCTGCTTCTGACAGTGTCTCGATAGATTCGCCAAAGAGTAGCGCGGTCGTGGTCGCGAGCGTGAACCGAAAGAACGCCGGCTGAAGGTCCAGCACGCCCTTCGAGTCTCGGAAAGTTGAGATCAGAACTTCGACCTGATCTGTGAAAGTCTCCAAGTCTCGAGCCTGGATTCGTACAAACTGACGTCGGAGCATTTCTCGCGAATGCTTCCAGGCCGGACCGTCTTGGGTGAAGATACCCTCGCCAAAGAACGGGTAGCAGGCAGGTCGTCGCACTCCCAATCCCATGTCTGAGGCTGCTGTCAGTCACACGGGATTGAAATCGGCAGGGTTGAACCGACCTTGGAAATGAGTCTCTGTGATGGCTTTGATGTTGCGAGGGTCCGAGGTGAAGTACCCAACACGTCCGAACATATACGCCGCAAAAGTCATGCCCATGCTCTCGGTGAACTCCACTTGTAGCATCAATGCATGGTCAGTCAGGACCGTCTCAACATGCTTCTTGATCAGATCAAGGGCCCAGGGCCAGCGGTGCTTGAATTCGCTCTGAGGTGGCAGACAGCCGTGTAATTTGGCGAATGCCGCTTCTCCCTGCGCACCGTAAATATAGGCCGCTGCTTGAACCAGGGTTCACGCACCTGACGTCGCCGATGTGTATCGTACAGCCACTTCCCGAGAATACCAGCAAGTACTGTGCACAACAGGAACTTGTACATGATCTGGCCGGCATCCTCAAACGCTGCTATTGCGATGTACTGGCGACGAAGACGTAGAAGGCGGATTGAGGGAGAGCAGCGTATTTGGGAGACTCTGAATGTGTTATGCCCTTGGGGTGGTCATGCTCCCGCATTCCATTCGAAGGATGCGAGATATGGTCGCATTCTCCACACGTGTATATGGCGATAATCATCTGCACATGCTGGAAACCCCTTGGTTGTCTTACCCATTGCTGTATCTCCCCAGAAGATTGACCAAGTCGCTTGGTTTTCAAAGGGTTGACAGCTTTCAAAAGCCATGATCTGAAACACACCAAGACTCCTTGCAGCTTTGACAGCTAAGAACACATCCAATCCATGAGCAGGTGCAAGAAGTTGAGAGATCTGCAGGAAGCTGGGTTCGAGAGAAAAGGGTTGATGGATGCGAAGGAGCGAAGGATCGATATCCAACTTCGAACGTTGCTTGGGGAGGACTTTGAAGCATCACATAGGCTCAGTCAAAGTCGAGGTTAGAAAAGCAGCCTCACTAGCCTTCGCGCACCTTTCACGCCCCCTTATCTAGAGCATCCTCATCAGAGACGTTGTATCATCTCTGCTTGCATCTAACTAGACTCTCCTCTCGTATCTGTCACTTCTCAGGTGCGTTTCGTGATATCCTCACCGCCTGTGTATTGATGGCTACGTTGAGAATGAAGTATTCCAAGCTTCAAGGATCAATCTCGCGGATATCAAGTGAGTTCAGTGACCAGTTCCCTGTTGCAAAACAGGCTTCTCGAGAGCCCTAATATTGATCCTACCAATGTACAGATTCCAATGAAGTTCGTGTCCTCTCATGCCATCCCTGCTCATGTTGGCCGCTCTCTTTGGAGCGGATATAGACCGAGGGAGTACGCCTCCTCCGTGGTCGGGAATATGACCATGCCGTGTCCTCGAGCCTGCCCGTGAGCACTAACCACCATGGCCTCATCCTCTCTTCTCCCACGCTCTGACAACAGCCCTGTCTCTGATTTCCCCTTCCTCTACCTCACGCTTCTGGATAGCTTTTCTGGCAAGATCTTGCTCAAATCGCACATCTGCAAGCGCCCCCTTTGCCCAATTGCGATGTCGTGGACATCGGTTCTTGATACAGACGCCGCCCTTCTTGGGCATGTTGTCACTTTCCTCTTCTTCCTCGTCCTCAACCGGACTTTGGGAGTGCCGAGCGACGCCATTAGGAAGTTTCGCGTTCCCCTCAACATGAGGTATCTCCTCAGGCGGTCCAATCCTCGCGTCCGCTCCTGCATCGACAATTGCCCGCCCGCCATTGTGATTATACCATCTCCAAAACTCTTCGTCAGACCACGCCATCCGGGGATCAAATCCACAGAGATCTTTCATTTTCGGGTGTGTCTTTCGGACTTCCTCGATTATACTCGACGATCGAGTTTTGACCAGTTCCAAAAATTTTTCTCGCGCGGCATGCATGTCATACCGCACCTTTAATCGTTGCTTCTCCTCCGTGATATTCGCCATTTTGGTCGTTTCCAGGTCATCATATTCCAAATCCGGTAGTGCTGTTGGCTGCGAGTCCGCCTCGGCCATGTCCATCTCGCGAGGCGGGGTTTCCGGTTTTCTTCCCAGTGATTTAAGCTGCTCTATGTCCTTGCACTTCTCGATAAGGGCTTTGATTTCGCCCGCTCGCAATGCGAAGCCTCGGTTCGGAAGCATATCATCATCAAGACTGCTGTCGGTCTCATATTCGGTCTTTTCCTCGTCACTGTATGCTGGCGTGGCGAGGCGACTGTCGGGATCCACACCATTGACAAGGTTGAGGAGCTGCTTCGCAGGTTTCTCTTTTTTCTTCTGCTTCTTCCGGTGCTTCTTGCGAGGCGGTCCTTCAATGACATACTGTCCATCCTTACTGGTCTGAGTCTGAGGATCGCCTCTCTGCACCAGTTCCACCATGCACATTCGCCCACACGCATCGGAGCAGTATTTGCTAGGAGGGATCTGCGTAACACGGGCAGGTTTCCTGCAATCCTTGCGCCGGCACATTCGTTTCCACGTGGTCTGCAAGCCGGGTTTTGTACAAGACGGGCAAATGTACTTGTCGATCAACTCGCCGTCTCGTTCTTTGATGTTCACACAATTGCCATGGAACCACTCGTCACAGCCACCGTCACAAGCAATCATCCATGTATGATTATCTCCTTTCCGGCATATACAGAAGACCTCGCCGTCGTCGTTGGAGCTCGATGACGTATCCGCAATCGAAGGCGACGGAGAACCAATCTCTCGGGATGCTGCGCGAGAAGAAGCTGGTGTGGGCGATGATTTCACACTGGCAGCCGAAGTATGCGTTTTCAGTTTCGACGGCCCCAGTTTCAGCTGGTGTGTGCTGGGTGTAGCGCTGGGAGAGCGGAAGTTCGACCTTGCCGCCGGGGGACTTTGTTCGTACTCGCCCAATCTCGCCTTCTTGTTCGATGTGCTCTTAACCTTGGCCGCGCCTTTCTTCCTGGCAGCGGCGGGAAGGAGTTTCGCAGAATCATCAGGGGCCGGTCTTTTTGTGCCTGCGAGAGGTGCTGGAGTGGCAAACGGTTCTGTGGAGGATGCTCTTGACCCTGCGATGGATGGTACCCTCTTTAAAGCCGCAACGGTACTTGTCGGTAGAGGCGACGAATCAAGGATAGGATGCACACCGAACAAAGTGTCTTCTTGAATCTCTTCTTCTTCGCCAATATGCCCTGATTGTTGCTCCTCACCATCCTCTTCCTCCTCTTCTTCCCGTTTCGCTGCCCTCTGCGCCCTTTCCGCCCTACTTAGCTTCGGAGGAGGAGGAGGTGGCCCTCTGGCGATGATATCCTCGAGAGGTTCAAGAGGCTCTCCGGTCAAAGGTTCGACGATGATTTCCAGACTGCGCAAAGGTTCCCAAGTTTTTGTGTTATGTATTTTCGAAATGTGATCTCTGACGGAGCGACGTCTGGTGAACAGTTTGCTGCACAAGTAACACAAATATCTGCGATCCGTGTGCTGACCTTCATTCTTGGAGGAGTGGATCGAGGATCGAGGCGCGGCGTCCGGGTCGGCCTTCCTTGACTTGCCAGGATGTTTTCGTTGCTTCGGGGTCTTCTCTGGTGTCTCTCTCGCCGGAGCATCTTCAGCGTAGAGATTCTCTTCTATCACATCCATGAGGGAGGAATCGACCACAACGTCTGGCTCGTCATCCAAGGGAGGATAGCCTATATCCATTGCTTCCTGCTTGATGTGATCTTCATCATTTGACCCATCAAGACCGACCAAATGTTCGCTCTCTTTAAAGAGGGAGACATCATCCATCGGAATGTCATTATTTTGCGCGCTTGGGGGCAGGGTGTCTATAGGGTGCGGCGCATCATCGCTGGGCTGGAAAAGTTCAGGCGCAAAGAACGCTGAAGTCGGCGGTGCGGTATCCATCCTGGAGGAGAAATTAGTCAAAAGGACTCAAGAGAGCAGTTGGAATAAATCGATCTCACCCATGCGACTCTGCGTGGGAGCCAGCAACATCTGCAGAATTTGTGTCGGTCGCAGGTTCGGGGTTGAGAAGTTCTGAGAGCGCGAAAGGCATGGGAGGCTGATGACTGATGGGCCAGGGTGAGAGAACAAGCGTAGCTTTGCCTTGTTGGGCTTCTGTGGGGTGGCCGTCAAGTCGCTTTCAGGGCCAACTCTGCTGGTCGCTGATGGGAAGGAGGGGACAGGGGAGTCAAATCTGTTCATAAGGCATTGTTCTTGGACCGTCCAGCGAGAACTTGACTCCTTTAGTCAATGAGTATTCAAAGTGACGCGAGAAGGCTGAGATGGTGGAATTGCCCAGAAGGGCTGCACCGGGTTGGCTTGTGGACGTGCTCGCAGTTGCAGGGACGCGATGGACGCGCTTTGTAGCCAATCAGCGCTCACCACTACAGCCTGCAAACACTCACTCTTTGTGGGAAAATCGCTGTTAGTTCACTTCTCAACCAACAGATCTGTCACTCTCCTTTCACCATCTACACGTGGTGGTGTGCATCAGTGAAGATCTGATGCTATCCCACATTGCCAATCAGAGTTCTACGGTCCGCTGGAGGATGCAGAGCGTCTGCTAGACCAACGCCAACAAAGATTGTCGCTCACTTACTCAGCCCTACGCTTCTTCTCTCGTCCTGCCGTGCACCTCAACTCTGTCCAATGCTGAGTCTGAGAAGAGCTCGACCGATCTCAGGCTTCCCGCAACGTCATTAGCAACCTGACCGGGGTTGGCTCATCCCTACATGAGGTTTGGGAATCTCAGCTCCCGCATATGCTTGGCCAACAGGTGGACATGTGCTCGGTACATGGAAGACAATGAGAAAAGCTGGCGAACCTTCTTCGGTTCGATGACAGGCACTCAATGCGCAGTTGGAGATATGAGACGGATGCAGGAGTCTACATTTTGAGGGAAAGTCCAATCACTTGATCGGGTGAATGTTAAAATTGTCGATCCGAAAATCGTTCTGAGTGATGAGGTGAGCCCAAGTCAAGGACCAGCCCGTTTCGTCTGAAACCTTGGATGGAGACAACATTGTAAACACAAGCAGTTCCCTTGATGTGTATTAGGTGGAGGAAAGCTGCATTTATCGTTACCTACTGTGGCGGCTTGTTCTCTCCACATGATCCCCCACATTGATCTCCTCGAGCTACTCCATCCTCCTCGCCTGAGAGGCGAATCGTACCTGTTTAAAGGGACAATGTTGAACCTGAATGTGCACCGTGTTGTTACCATCCTCGCCCGTTGCGTTGTGAACAATGCCCAAAAACAGTCAATTCATCGTCCATCCTTCGGGCGAGACAACACACTACATCGCCGACGACTTCACCGATCCCTGGAATCCAGATCGCCAAACGATCCTGCTTCAAGGCGGCTTTGCTCGCCATGCAGCGTTCTTCTACCACTGGGTTCCTGCTCTCTCACGGCATTACAACGTGATCCGTCGAGACTTGCGCGGACACGGGTACTCGAGTGCTCCGTCCATCTCGAAGAGACCGGACGCGTACACCCTCGACGCGATTCTCGGTGATATTATCGACACGCTCGACCAGCTCGGGATTGAAAAGGTTCATTTCTTCGGCGAGAGTACGAGCGGCATGTTAGGGGAGATTCTCGCGGCCAGGCATCCAGAGCGGCTGTATAGTCTGACGATCTGCTCTTCTCCCGCTTACCTCCCTGGGCCTACCCAGGACTTTCTTGCGTTCGGGGAAGAAAGCTTCCCCATCGCGTGTCGGAAACTAGGTTCTCGAGAGTGGGCGACCAGACTGAAATCTCGGCCGGGCACCATGGCCCATCCTGATCCGGGATATCATCGTTGGTGGCTCGAACAGATTTCTCTGAACTCCGGCGAAGGACTGGCCAGTTATGCGGAGTTCCTCAGCAAGCTTGATGCGCGACCGTTTCTCTCTCAGATCCAGGTCCCTGTCCTCATTCTGGCGCCTGCAAACAGTGCCGCGACGAGATTGGATGAGCAGAAAGCAATCCAGCAGCAGATCCAAGGTAGCAAGTTAGTCGTCATTGAAGGGGCGGGACACGAGATATATGTGGACAAAGCTGACGAGTGCATTGGGGAATTTCTGGGATTTATCCGGAAACTCAGAGGATAGCACAGCCCTTTGCCCTGGAATACAATATGTATGTAAATGGTGCGGTCCTGACTTTGTGATACGAACCATTCACACCTTCCACAGATCGCGCCACAATGCGTTGTCCGTAGGGTGATGCGCACTGTCGAACTTACCTGTTCATAAACGTGTGAGATATGTCATTTATATGGTTATCACAGGAAGACCACCACAATATACCGGTTAGCATTTGGCCAGTCTTATTTGTGTTCCAATGTCATTGGCATAATCGCAGAAAGACTTGTGAGTTTTGACTGCAACCTGAAGTAGTAAAAGGTTCACTCCTAAGGATTGAGTGAATGCTGTTCAGCAGTGATAAAGAAGCAAAATTGGTTGTGCGACTCCAGCCGCCGTATCGGAAAGGTGAATTGGGGGCAAAGCACTCATGGTAATGACCTCGGGCAGCTGATGCCATGTCAGTTGGCCCGACTTGTTATCAAATATGGTGACTTCGTCTTCGCAATGGGATGAACACAACGAGCAAAGGGTCACTAGTGGTCTTTGTAGCTTCATTTCATAAAAGCAGCGACCGCAGGTCTTGTATACCTCCTCCTTCCAGAAGACCTGGTCGTTCGCGTAGGATAGAACCGCTCAATATTATAGATCATTCGGGGTTGAAGACTTGATCCGGTGTTGTATGGTATCGGTGGCTCATGTGATGGCGATATCAAATCTGCAAACTTGGCAGAAGAAGAAGAAGCTCACTTGGACATCAAGGTAACGTTGGCGCCATAGGAGATGTGTCGTGTATCTTGCTCAGCTCAACGTCTTGGTCGATCCTCCACTTGTCAGCCGAGTAAATCCTTAGCTGTATCCTACCTTTGGTGGCATTGAGTCCGCCCACACGGCATTGGACTAGAGAGCCGTAGGAAGGACACCAGTTATTCGTGAATTCCCCAAGGCGATGGTGCTTGGGCGAGGTGTCGCTGCGATCTCTTTACCAGCTGCGCCCGTAGTAGCTTGCTCCCGAGATGTGCCCTTGTCTGGCGAAGCGCATCTTAGAAACCAGGGCTGCTCAGCTCTTGGAAGGCTGGGCTGCGATCGTTGGGTCGGGGGTGTTGGAGGACACATAATGGGCCTCACCCATCTCAAGAACGCCCCCCGCTAGCGGATCAAGCCTAGGAGTCCAGATCCGTGGAAAAGGTGATGATGAGAAAGGGAACGGCTTGAAGTAGCAATAGTCAGATGAACTAATTAGGTGGCTAGTTGCCGGGGGGGCAAAGGCGGGCAGCAACGTCACTCGGCAATCTCGAGTTCGAAGTGAGGCAGAAGGGAGGAATGGAGACAAGGGATAAATCTGGGGGACAGCGCTTGCTTGTGACAGATGCCTTGCTTCAATCTTTCATTAATTGCGCCTCAGCCTCTTCCATCTTCTGCACCTAGGGATCCATGAATCCATCACTTCTTCCGGTCTTCTCCTCGAATCCTCTGTGACGGGCCCCTGCTGGACACCAATTGCGACCCGTCCGGCTGATGAGTTGCGCTCAACCTTGCCTTGACTGCGATTTGGTTTCTCCCAACCCAGCCTGATGCCGCCTGCAAACTCGCCCTCTGTAAGTATTTGTCCGCTGTATCTACTCATGTCTACACGGGAAATCGAGTGTTCGAAGCGAATGCTTGGTCCTGAGGGAGTGCTACAGTCAGAGCACGTTTGTTATTGCTGTTGCCGCTGCTTTTCTTGTTGTGAATCGGCTGCGTTCCTTGGGGCGTGTCCTTGGACTTACCGTCTTTCCACGCAGGACACTCGCCCCTCGACTCCTCCTCCCAATCCCTACTTGCGACAACTCGAAGAAGCCATTGCCACTCCTGTGCCGGACCTTGCATCCACCTTGAATCTCAACTCGACCGATCCAAATTCACAGAACGACCAATGGGCAGATCGCCCACCTGTTCAGGCAAACGAGGCCGACGGTTTTGTCACACAACGAGCTGGCCCTGTCCTGGTCGATCTCACAGGAGCAGAATTTCAAGAGTGGGCTACTGAGAGTCAGGTGCCGGCTACGATACCGACTCAAAGGGATGAAGTGGCAGGCGTGGAACGAGATAACAACCGCCCAAGTGTTGTCTCGACTTCCGATCCCATCATGGATGTTTTTATATCTGCCCGGGACCGTCTAATTCTCTCGGGCGCCATGCCACCGTTACCCCACTCCTCCGACGATAGCGATGCAGATATGGAACCTCTGAGGATGGCGACGGCTCGTAGCTCCAGCGCTGGTACAAGGGGCTACTCTCTGCACCTCCACGACGATGTTCTGGTGCACCAGGGACCAAGTCGTGGTACCCAAAGGCTTCCCAGGAGCTCCGACATGGGAGCGGTGCCCACAGCTAGTGCCCTTCGAGCCCTCTGGGGAGAAGACGTAGATGATGAGTTGACTGTCACATTACCTCCGCTCTCGGGCTATTTTCCGGGCAATCGAAGAGAGCCTTCGCAAAACAGCCGGGAGCCTACTGGACCTCGATCTGGGGCGTCAATCAGTCCGAAACGATCCGATGCATTCAAGCGGGTGAGGAAGCTGATTCGCTATCTCTCCCAGTTGAGGCATACTGGCATAGAAGGTGGTCTCGAGGCAGCCAGAGAACTCGGGCTCGACTCCTTGTATGCGTCGGACGACTCCAATACCCCCAGTGACCTTCCCATGCACATTAACAGTCTTCCTGTCCCGCAGTACAGTTCTTGGTTACAAGTCGGAATGGTTTGGCATGGCCTGCAGTCTACTGACCGCGAACCGGTCCGCAGCGCTCCTGTCTCGGCTGCAAATCTTCGGCGCGAAAGGCAGCGCCAGCTGATCCGCAGAACCATAGCTCGACAGAGGGAAATGTCTCGCGGCCATACCTTCAACAACGAGGTTGCGGAGTCTAACACTCAGGCTCTGCAGACTGCAGAGAGTTACCTCTCCGACCTGATTCTGCAGGACAGCAATGGCCGATGGGGTTCACCTCAACGTTCGACCACGTCGCTGTCTTCCCATCCTACGCAGTCCCCTTCTCAATCTACGGAGCCAGATCACTGGCCGGTGAAGGTGACCATTCATTCCGTCGACTGGGAAGCCATGACGGTGACTGGGACAATGTCCGCCAGCCAGATGCCTGAAAAGCTCTCTTCTTGGCACCAATCTGGTGTCCCACAGCCAGGCGCAACTATTGGCACAACAACCAGCATGTCCAGTTTCTTCGTGGGAGAGATTATCGATTTCCGAAGGCAGCCTTTGGAGACGGAGAAATTGGGCCGTGACTACGAAGTAGGTGGCCTTGATGTGGATGCGCGGTACTGGGAACGTCTGGGGCCTTTCAGAAAAGAGATTGACCGAATCCGCCATCTGCGGGGGAAGCAAAGAAGCGAGTATCAACAAAGCAGCGCCCTTTGGGACGCGTTCCGGAAAGCGGCTGGTGGGGAAGGCGAGCACAAGGATGCGCCCGGTCCCTCAGACGCACCCTCGCCTTCGACGGACGATACTACCGTCGACGACTCGCCCAACAACGTTTCCAAGTCTCCCGAAGACAAGGAAGCGGAGGACGACGAGATCATGGCTCGCAGCCTGGGGAGTGCCAAGTGGATTGAAGAAAAGCTGGGGAAGGAGTGGATTCTCATGCGCTGGAAGGAAAGATGTTTTGTGACACCTCCAGGGGGCGCTACAAATGCAAGCTCTACGAGGACCATCTTCACCACGGCTCCCTCAACGACCGGGCGATCGGCCGGGCGTGGACCTGGTGGAATCGGCAGTGGATCTACATCGTGGGGACTGACCATTGCGGGCTTTTACTATATTGCCCTCAACCGTCTGACGGGGGAGATTGACGGGCTGTACTACGACCCTGGCTCTCAACCCTACCAGACCATCAAGATGCTACCAGAGGGCACCACGGTGGCGCAACCCCAGCCTTGTGGCTGCGGGGAGGAGGACTGTAAAGAGCCAGTCGGGGTCAAGAAATGGTTTCCGGCAGTCGAGTTCCGGTGAATGGAGTTTGGCTATAGGTTACGACGGAACAGATGAACCAGGCCAGGAATTTGGATTGGGTTTGGTCTGCAAAGGGAAGCATATGCACGTTCAGCCTATATGAATTTGATTTTCTCTCTTGATACAAAGGAAAGGCTGAGGTCCAAGCACCAAAGGTTCAAGCGAACGCGGGAGTCTGGCTAATTAATAGGATGACGTGCTCGACGCCTGAAGCGCCGCTCAGCTCACCAGCCGCACATCCAGCATCGGATCGAGTCTAGTGGCATCGTTGCTTTTTTATTAGGTGCTGGTATCTCGTAATTGCTGAGCAGTTGCTGTGCATGTCAAGTCAAGCTTCGGGAGCCGATGATGTCGGCGAGGAATTAGGACTCAGAGCTTCGGCGGCGCTTCTACCTCTCCACTTTTGACTGTCTCGCACCGCACCGCAGTCCAAGTAGCACCGAGTATACAAGAGCCAGCGCATTCAATCCAGCTCTTGACTCTTGACCCCCTGCTCCTCGTGCACATACATACGTCCACAATGGCGCCGACAGGCCTCCTCAACTCCTTCCTGGCCGCCATCCAGGCCTCCCTCTCCGTGCTGCTGGTCATCTTCTACGGAGGGGTCGCCGCCCATCTCAAGCTGCTCAACTCGGCCAACACCAAGGCCATCTCCAAGATCTGCGTGCGCATGTTCCTCCCTGCCCTGCTGGTGGTCAAGATTGGCTCCGAGCTGCACGCGGGCTCGGCGAGGCGCTACCTCATCGTCTTCATCTGGGCCATCGTCTGCCACCTGATCTCCTTCCTGATCGGCATCGTCGCGCACCTGTGGCTCGGCATGCCCGACTGGACCACCGTGGCGCTGATGTTCAACAACACGACGTCGTACCCACTCCTGCTGATCGAGGCGCTGGACGAGACGGGCATCCTGCGTGCGCTGATCGTGACGGACGAGACGACCGACGCCGCCGTCGAGCGCGCCAAGAGCTACTTCCTGGTCTTTGCCACAGTCAGCAGCTGTCTGACCTTTGCGGTCGGGCCGAGACTGATCGACACCGAACATGCCCCCGAGGAGGAGGAGTCCAAGGACGACGGACCGGGCGGCCACGATGACGACGATGACGAGCCCTTTGACGCCGTCGAGCGCACGTACCGCGAACCAGACGAGGCCTTGGCCAACGAGGAGACGGGCCTGCTGCAGAGTCCCGACACGTACACCTTCCCGCAGCGCCAGTCGACCATCTCCTTCGCCAGCTACACGGAGAACTCGTTCTTCCCGTCGACGCGCCGGTCGTCATTCGTCGGGGCCAGCGGCGGAGGCGGTGGTGGTGGTGGTGGCCGCCCGTCCTCCCAATCTCAACCTTCGCGGCGCCCGTCGCTCGCCGTGCCCCTGCACCGGCGCGCGTCCATCGTGCCCAAGAGGCAATGGTACAAGCTCGGCCCGCGCGCGCAGTGGTGGCTGCTGTTCGTGTCGGACTTCTTCAACGCGCCCCTCCTGGGCGCGATCGTGGGCGTCGTCATCGGCCTGATCCCGGTGCTGCACCGCGCCTTCTTCAACGACACCTACGAGGGCGGCATCTTCACCGCGTGGCTAACCGCCTCGCTGAAGAACATTGGCGGCCTGTTCGTGCCCTTACCCGTCGTCGTCGCCGGCGTGAGCCTCTACACCGCCATGCAAGAGGCCCGCAAAGCCGCGGCCGAGGGCCAGAAGACGCAGCACATGCCCTGGCTGACCGTGACGTTCATCATGGTCACGCGGTTTGTGCTGTGGCCCGCGGCCTCCATCTACTTTATCTTCTTGCTCGCGTCCAGGTCGACCGTGCTGGGACCAGATCCGATGCTGTGGTTTGCCATGATGTTGATGGTGAGTGTGTGGAACCTTGACCCTTCTCTTTCACTCGTCTACCCTTAGCGCACATTAATTATGTTCTTTGGTTGGTATGATGGCCATGAACTAACCGCCACTTCTATTTCACACCCCTATAGCCAACCGGCCCGCCGGCAATGAAATTGATCACGCTCATCCAGGTCAGCGACGCGGAGGAGGAAGACGAGCGCAACATCGCGAAGCTGTTGACGGTGAGTCCCGACCCGACCCCGTGCATTGCCCGAGTCTCCTGTTCGCCTTATTTCGCATGATACAAGCCGCCTGCCCCTACTTGTGGGGGAGTTCAAACGGTATAAACTGACTGTGACTGGGGACGCGAGTAGATTTCCTACCTCATCTCACCGATCCTAAGTTTCACGGTCGTGGGTGGATTGAGGGCCGCTCAGGCGGCGATCCCGCCGTCGTGATAGTGTATCTATCCTATCACGGAATCATTGCACAGAGACATGGGCGACAGACTGAGAACAGAACCCTCACCATGTAAAGCGAGTACAGGACGACAAGCATTTGCTTTTTTCTGCCAGGAGGATTTCCATTGGGGGCTTTTGATTCCGTGTGACGGTGTATTTATATTTGGAGGGCAAAGGGCACGAGGCCTGCTATTTTATGGAGTATATGCGTAAGGGGCTTGGATGACATGACATGTACTCGGTATATATTATATGCTCAAGATTGGATCCAGCCTGGTGCTTATCCAGTATCTATTACCAGGCAAACAGCGTTCCCAGTACCTCACACAGCCGTCATTACTGCACCGCCTGTATATGATCCAGCGCCCTGAGGAAGTAGGGCAGGAACCGCTCGGGGTCTTCGCTGAAGGGGAAATGGCCCAGGCCCTTCATCTCCTCGAACACGGCGCCCTGGATCTTGTCGGCCGTGCGCCGGCTCGTCTCGGGCGAGCAGCTGTAGTCGTACTCGCCCGTGAGCATGTACACGGGGCAGAGGGCGGTGTCGATGTGGGCCATGCGGTCGCGGCCGTCCCAGCCCTCGAAGTAGAACTTCAGGTCGCCCGGGAAGATCTGCGAGGCCTGGGCCGAGTACAGCCACCAGTTCAGCCGCTTGTAGAGGGCCGGCGAGGTGGGCGAGATCATGCCGCACACGCGCTCGGCGTTGAGCACCGCCTCGTCGCCCTGCAGCGAGTAGATGGCCGCCGCCTGCTGCGCGGGCAGATAGTCGCATGCTTCGCAGGGGATCACGCCGCGCACGCCCATCTCGCGCGCTCGCAGCGCCACCGCCAGGCACACCTGGCCGCCCATGCTGGCGCCGGAGACGATGACGTGTTTCAGCTTGAGCTTCGCGATCATCTGGTGGATGGCCGCGATGTAGAAGTCCTCGCTGTTCGCGTACGACTGGGGGTATTGGTGCGTCCCGGGGAACGAGCGGCCGTGGCCCGGCAGGTCGAAGGCGTACATGGTACATCGGCTCTGGAGCGCCCTGTTGAGCATCAGCGAGTGATACTGCCGCGAGTCGGCCCCGGCGGTGTGGAGGAAGAGGACGTCTTGTTCGCCTTGCCCGGAGGTCTCGTAGAAGATCTTGCACTTCCCCACCGGCGCCAGGGTGAGCCAGGTGTAGTGGCCCACGATGGAGTCGTCGTCGCGCTCATCGTCCGGGGTATACTCCGCCACTGTTAATGCCGCGGGCGGAGGGTGCAGTGCGTCTCGAATCCGGTCTATCACGAGCCTCCACAGCCGGGCATGTTTGGTGAAGGTTTCCTTGTCGCCGGTGACCTCCACACCAGAGCTCTGGCCCAGCAGCCGGAGCATTCCCCAGTAGGATTGAAACGGCCGCTTGGGTACGGCTGCGAAGACTTGCTGCCAGTGTTCTGATTGCGCGTTGAGGTTGAATTGTGGCCTCCCGCCAGCAGCTGAGCCATCTTCGACTGTCACCTTGCCCTGCTTGATGCTGAAGAGCAGCTTGTCGCTAGAGTCTGCAGCACAGATTGCAAATTGGACATTGTCCACGTTGGCTGCCGACGCCTTGAATTCAGCGTCTCCATTTATCTCTGCCTCGATTTTGCCCAGCTTGGCTCGGTTGATGGTGGAGAATAGGTCCCCGGCTGCTGCTGCCATGGTCTCACACTGTGTCACGTAGCCCTCTGGCCGTGCCTCGCTGTCACCGTCCCGTATAGAAACAGTATATCGCCATCGAAATCGCCAGGAGCAAATGCCAATTTAAATGAGTGCCGTCCGCCAGCAGGATTCGACATCCCCGCACGGAGCGAATCGACCCGAGGTTCACAGCGTTGAGTGTAGAAGATCGAGTTTCCCCCATTCGTATGTGCTTCCAGAGCTCGAAGCCCGGCAGTTTGTTGGCACTCTTGTCTCCCCACGCGATGTTAGCAGGGGCAGGCTTCTCCTTCTGTTGCCTCGATGTTCGGCGCTAGGGTATATGATACTGCGGATCGAGGAATAAGGATTTGTCCCCGTAACAACCTTTTCTCCAACAACCAGCATATTCGTGTCGAATAAGAAAATTTGCTGCAGCTCACGTATGCAATATGGCGTAGACGTGGCCATCGAGTACCGGCATAGAGGCATTGCCTCTCTGTCTTAGACTGACCCGACGGCCTTTCTCCCAACCAATTGAAGAGTAAAACGCTTTTGGGACTCACTCATACGAGCGCCGCTGGTCGAACTTTCCTTTGTTGATGGCCTCAAGGGAAGAGGAGAACAGCTTCGGGGCCTGAACTGCGGAGAACAATGAGTCTGCATAAGCTGATCGAAGTGCTCGACGAACGCATGATTTACACTGTAGGTCCTGGTTGTATGTATCACCCAAATCCGGTGGCGCTGATTGGCAATGAGGACAAGAGTTATATTAGTAACGCCGTTGTTATCTTCCGGTGAGCAACATATCGCATTCTGGTCCTTATGTTATCTTACACAAGCAACATGAAGCGGACGGACAACACTCGACCTCGTGGCGTCTGTATATGTTCGGCCCTCCGCAGTCATCCAGAAAACAACTCAAACGACTTACCAGAGAAGAATCCCGTGATAGGCTGAAGATGCTGCTTGGGCAACACGCCTGGTGAGCCTGTTCAGCCTGTTTGTTACGGCAGCAGGGGGACCGAGAAGTCCAATGGCGGGCAGAACAATTCATCGTATCCTGGCCCACTGTGGGCAAGGCATTGTCTCAGTATCCGGATTGCCTACGTGCACGACACTACTGTACACCAGTTCATTGGACTGTACGGAGTCCGCTGAAAGGATACGAGCAATACCTCAGATCCTAGGCCACCCGCCAGATCCTAGTAATGCCGCCGGGCCTCACGCAATTCCAGCGACCCTCGACGGCACACCCGTGCACGAGGAAGCCGAGCTTGTGAGGGGGATTGCCGATCCGGCGACAAAAGTTGCTTGATGGAACCTCCTTTCCTCCGAGTTGCGAGGGCTGGGACGAAAGTCTTGACAGAGGAGGGCTTTGGGCCAGTATTTGTGGTCTCCACATCCGAGATGGTACAGGAGACCTTCAGTTCGCCGGTGACAAAGAGCGCTTGACCGGTATCTTGAACCGGATATCAGTCTTGAACTGAGAGGGTCGGCAGCAATCCAGTCGGGGTGTTCGGAGTATCCTGCATCAGGGAGATAAGATCTGTCCTATGATATTAGGGGAGGTGGTCTGGTCACCGACTCTTTGGTCGAGACTGGACGAGAAGGTAAGTGATGGCATAACGGTGAGGATGGCCAGAACTCGACGAAAGACCTTGAATCAGACAACAGCACGGACTCTTCGGCGTCGAGAGCTTTCTGAAATCAAAGTCCGCCCTCACCATGTAAGTGGCTTGATGAGGGGTTCCGCTCTCTGAGTGATTCACCAGCCAGCAGCCACTCTGAGGATTACCGATGTTCGCATGGAGAAATTGATAGCCAAGCTCCACGCGGAGCAAGCAGCAGCGGAAGTGGCGGCGAAGAAGTTAGATTGACCCAGGTATTGTTGAATACCCCGTGGCTGTTGCAGCACTCGAATCACATATGCAGACGGCTCTCTATCGACCGACTTTTGTGGTTAGCCAGAAGCAATCCGGAGAAACATGGGCATCATACCATGGGCTTGAGGTCACGATACATTGTGACTATAATTGGTGCCTCAGGCGGTGAGTCTCCGGAAAGACATTTCGGACTATCTATTCTTCTTCAAGCTTTGCAAAGACATTAGCGATCCAGCATGTTCCTCTCGCAAGAGGTGTCGGTGCTGGTTTCCCCGTCAGCACCGCAGAGTCGCAGGTCTAGCGCATGTAGGAAGCTTTGTGCTGTCACCAGTGTCTGTTTATGCCCATTCCTCCAGCCTCTTAAGTTACCCGTCTGAAGAATGAGCCCATCAAAGACAGTCTCGTAATCGTATGCCGTTTCAGGTGGCTGGTGTCCAGTCTCCCCATTCGTAACGAGCATGTTGACGGGATGCGCCCGAAGTTGGGTGATCTTCTGGCCTTGCGTAGCGCAACGGTAGCCGCAATTAAGCCCAGCAGGCGACCAGGTCCATCCTGGCCAGAAATACCACTAGCAAATCAAAAGCACATGGGGAACTGGAGATGAGGCTCTGGACCTAGGTCACCATCCACTCGGACTCGTAAGAGAACACATCCGGGCAATCTGAGCAGGCTGGGATGAAAGCTGGCGGCCGGGGCAGCTCAAGGATGGCAGAAGCTGAGCAGAGGCATGATTCGACAGGATCTCGTCGTTCGGACAAAGGGCCCTGCAAGATCGGAGGTCGTGTGGACGATATCATTGCTCTGGAGAAGATTGCTGGTGGATGGTGGTGGATGGGGAATTTTGATGACCAAATTTCAACGAGTGGGTTGATGATTTGCCGTAGCTCGGACTCCTCATCTCCGGGGCGGGCACTAGGCACCCACTAGAAGAGCCCCAGTGCTAAGGTTTACGCCAGACGCAGGAACCGATGCGCTTAAGCCCACCCCGGCATTTGCTAAGAGCCCAGCTAAGCCCCCCCAGCTAGGGAGGCTACTGGGCCTTCAAGGCATACCAGCCCAGCGAGCGGCTGGGAGCTGTGCTGAGGCGCCTGGAACACATATCCAGGCCCAATTAAGGTCTCCACTACGGACTTTGGGGCGTCGACCCTACGGAGCACTTCGTCGACCTTTTTGAGACTTGCATGGCTTTTCGCTGCCACACTGCGCTTCAGCTCACCAGCTCACTCTCGTGCTTGTTCCCCCCTGCCCTCGCCTTTCTCCCTTGCTTCACCACCGTCCCAGCATCACACACTCTCTTTCTCCTCTGCCCAGTAGATCGCTCGCTCGTTATTATACTGTCGTCTTGTTTGTCTGTCCTCACATTCGCTCATCAACAACCCCTTATTGAGTCGTCGTTGACCATACTATAATTCGTGCGTGTTTGCTCCCTCGAGCTAGGGTCAGGTCACAGAAAAAAGGAGCTGCTCTCGCTTCCACCCCATTCGCAACGCAACCAAGGACAATTCATTCAATATCGATTCGGACCACGTTACGGCGGCTTCTTCTCAATCGCATATGCTCCCAAAGAATCTACCGGGAGCGTCATTGTGAGGATATATCGGCCGGATACCGTCTTCGACATGGAATAGCTTGTTGAGGTGCATGACCCTCTCCGCCTCCCCATCCCCATGTCTCACATTCTCTGACACCTCCCGCTTTCGACAGATACCCTGAGTCTGCTATCTCTCGCTCTCGCTGCGCTCTTTGCCAGCTGCCGCTCATTACATTCATTCGTTTGGACATCTCAGACTACGAATTCAACACGCCTCCTAAACGCGACCTCGTTCGCACTCGCTGAAGACGTCCTCACTACAGGCGTCGATACCATCGCTATTCGCAATCTACAATCCTCAGGACTGAAAGGGAACCGCAGGTGTGCCTCTCAACGACCACTTTCCTCGGGCCTCCTTGAGCCGGAATCCCACTTAATGCATTTCATGCATCTGCTGTAAACATACCCATGATGGAGAGGCCTGCGAAGCGATTGAAGATTACAAATCCAGACGTACGAAATCCGCGGGATACAGGCTCAAGAATGACAGAAGGGCTCTTTACCTCCGAACTAGGCATGCAAGGCGATGATACAGACCTCAAGGTTCAGCCCACTCGAACCATCAGCTTGTCGGATTTTCAAAGACAAAATGTGTTCGGCAGCTATGAGCACGCCCCGCGACCTATGCTACCTCGCAGAAATGCTGGAATCTATTTGCTCCCCAGAGCTCCTGATGCCACTGTTACCGCAAGCGTTGTACAAGTCAATGTGAACGACGGCACAAGTACCTCGAAAATCACCGAAGTAACTGTAGCCACGACGGGTACAGTTGTTTCACTATCAGAGGTCGGTACGCTAACTACCGCGGTTTCTTTGACTATACCTGGAATCTCAAACAGTACCAGCGTCAAGGGGAGCGCTACAGATTCATCACAGCAAACGATCACAACTCCTCCAATAACATCGGGGGATACATCAACAATTACCTCATCCACAAGCATTTCGAGTCCGTCTAACCCAGCAAACGGCACTATATCTTCTGACACGACGAGTACCGGAGAACGGACGGTCACGGTTACAGCCACTTCAACCTTCGAACTGTCGGTGATCAATGGAACCCTTATCGCCACGGACTCGCGTTTCGATGTAAACCCCACAAGCAGGACGAATGTAGGAACTACTGGGATCAGCAGCAGCAGCACTACGGTGACCTTTGTCTTTGGCGACCTCACCTCAACACCTACACCATCGTCTGACAGCCTTACTTCATCCGATCCTTCTGAGTCCCTTGTCACTTCCTCTCTTTCCTTCACTAATGGCTCGGGCGGCGGTGCTGCTGGCTCTCCGACAGCAACAACCGACTCAGCAGCTACCTCGAGTGCTGGGTCGGGTAGTGGCGGAGGCGGAGGTAGCAGTCTGACGCCAACGCAACAGCAAGTGGTGGGAGGGGTTGTTGGAGGTGTGGCTGGTATTGCTCTGACGCTGGTCATCATGCTTTTTCTACTGCGCTGGTATCGCCGTCGACTAAAGGCACGAGGTCAGCTTCCCGAACAAATTGCCGCTCGCGAGCTAACGGGCGGTGGCGGCGGTGGCGGCGAGGCATACCCCATGTCTCAGCGATCCTCGACGACGCCTCTCACAGCAGCTGTGGCTCACGGCCTGAAACGTCTCCGACCTCGCAGCAGTCAGACTCTCGGCACCACCGCCACGGGGACCACGGACAGCAGCGTACCAGAATCGGAGCGGGGGTTTCAGCGTATTGCGGGCCGGAAGATCGCCCCTGTGCTGAGCAGCGGCGGTGACCCATATGGAGGAAACTTTGGTGCTTTTGAAAAGGACGCTGGTGTGGGACCCTCAGACATGCCACGGATCCCAGAAAGAGGCCTCTCCGGGGCTTCATTCTATCAAGACAACCGTGGCTTCTACGGGGGGAAAGGGACACCAACGCCACCACAGGTACCTTCATCACCAACGACTATCACCACGCCTGCTAAGACGGGAGACTCGTCGACACCTGCTGGAACCGCCTCAAGTGCCAGGGACTTTGCAGAGACGCCACGTGCGCCATCAGTACTTAACAGCAGCCAGATATCTCTGAATACGCCCAGCCGGCCTGAAGGGTTTGCAATCATGCGACCGAGTCCCGCTCGAACCCCAGTGACACTCAGCCCCGCTGCCAGCTCTATCCGGTTACCAATCCAGCAGCCCCCAAGCATGGCTGAAGATGCTCCTCCGCTGCCTCCGATGCTGCGAGACGGAGTCGGCCGCAGCCTGGCTAGCCAGGACGGAAGCCGAGTGAGCAGGAGCAGCGGACGAAGTGCCGGGAGATTTACGGAAAACATGTGATTCTGACAATCAACAATCTTATGGCTGATTCTGATCGTCCCCGATCTCTGGCAACAATGTTTGAATATCTCTTGTTTTCTAGCGAGGAGTTTAGCGTGATTGGTTGGACATTTTGTGGTGCCAGGCACCATTGTCACGGCGGGCCCGAATTATCAAGCTCGCATTGGGCGTCTCAAGATTGTGTTTTTGATGTGATACCCACCAGATATGTGTTCTTCAAGAAGTCAACTAGTATGTGCATAGGCTCGAGATATTTCAGTACGATTAAGACGTTATTGCCAGTCCATGTTGCATCAGCAACTTATGTATCTATGTCACCCGCCCTATTCTAGAGGGGGTTCAGTCTAAGATGTCAAGTTTTGTCCAGCATGCATGATCTATGTACATGTAATGTATGTGCAGCTTGACTGGGATAAAAGCTATGTACTCCGTCTGGATAATTGAAGCTGTAACTGCATCTACCTATGTACCTCGTACTTTGGGCACGTTCGATATATTCAATCCTCGGCCGCCACGCGCTTCAGATTCCTCCATTACTCTACTTCCTCGTCGCTGATCGTCCATCGTCATTGTCGTTGTGGTCGTCATCACACCCCAGATACGGTTATTCCACATGTCCATCCACTACGCGGAGTCCCCTCAGTACTCGTACGGGCTGTTCCTCAGTGGCTCGTAGATGTACAGCGTCGAGTTGTGCTGGTCGGGCAAAAAGTACACCCTGAGCGTCTCATTCACGTACGCCACGTCAAACGGGTTCTGCGTGAGGGGCGTCCCCCGGACAGACGTCATGGTCAGCGGCACCTCGTAGAGCGGAATCATGGTTTCGAAGTCGACGAGCGCGAGGCCCCCGATCGTGATGTTGCCGGCCAGGGTGGCGACGCCCGAGCAGATCATGACGGCGCGGAAGTCGTAGTGTTTGGAGTGGCCCAGGAACTTGCAGTCTTGGTAGTCGACGTAGAACGACGGGTTGCGGGCGACGGACGACGGCTGCGAGAACGCCGGGTACGGATTGTTGGAGGTCGCGTTGAGGTTCCAGATCGAGGCGTTCCGTGAGCCCCAGTTTAACGTGTTGAGTCTTTGGAGTTTGGTGTCGTGCACGATGCCTCCCAGGTGGTCGGCGTAGTGGATCAATGATTGGTATTCCAGCGTGAGGGGATTGACGGCGACGATTGTAGCAGTGGTGTTGGGTCGGTATTGGGCGAGAGTGGCCCAGATGTATTGGCCATCGTAGTCAAGACCGCCAATGTGGTATTCAATATCCCCCGGAGGCGTCAGGGTCGCGTCGACCACTCGTTTGCCCTCCCCATCGTAGACCTCAAGGTGCCCATATCCGGCTCCCGCGGCGCGATCTGTTCCGTTTATGATGGTGCCGTTGTACGAAGTGGTAGGGACGGTCCAGTCTCCACGGGCAGTGATGAATCTCTCCTCATTGATGACCACCATGCCCTCAGGCTCGCCAGTATCACCTTGGAAGGTGATGTTTTTAACCGAGCGCCAAACAGTGGTGCGGCCTAGAGTGGTAAATTGCTCGATAATGGCCTCGAAGTTTGCAGCGGCACCTGGTACAGGCAGCGGGACTGGGACGAAAGAGACATTGGATTGATAGACGGTCAGGTTGGCCGCCAGGACTGTGGCTACCAGGCAAGCGCCAGATGCCAGAGACAGAGCCGTTCCCTTCATAGACACCATAGCTGAGATTAGTGGTACTTTTGACCTGAAATTCTGAGGGTTACAAGCTTGAGATGGTACCGCTCTTTGGTCAGTGAACGTTCCACGGTCTGGGTTTTGTAGCTGCAGATCAGCAGCCTACCCTGCTCCTTCATCCCACATTGCCGATGCATAGAATCTTCTTTCGAAAGCTTTGTAACGTAAGGCACTAGGTAGGTCGGTAGGAAGCCGGATTGCCCCATCACGTGTGATGTTGTTAAGCAGAGATTGGTTCCATCCGCTGTCGCGCTTTAACCGAGTGTTCGCGGACGACGGAATCTAAGAGTGTCGGACACCTTTGCGTTCCTAATAGTGGATAGAGCATCATGGCTCGGGAAACACTTTCTGCTTCTGGAAGTGAGCAGCAGGCACGTTTTTGATATCTTGATGGACGACCGACGATCTGGTCAGGATGCTGATCCAGGCCGAAGATGCACTGACTTTGGCCACGCAGAGCTGCAGCAAGGGTTTCGCAGGTGATCTACTCCACCGTATCAATTTTACGGCGGAGCAATTATTCTCCTAATGCTGCCACTTGAATTTGTCCGTCACACTTTCATATCACTTCCTTTTTTTTTCTCACCATCAACCACCACCATTCACGACACTCTAGGGAATGACAGATACGGCTACCTGAACTTTGTCTTCCTCAAAACTTCCTTGCAAGGCCTTCTATCTAAGCAGCCATCAATGGAAGCTTGGCGGGCCAATCTGACTTGGGGAGACCTGGGTGGCGTCCGATTGACTACTGTAACATTCCCGCCCCATTCGAGGCCACTGTCCACGCAAACGGGATGGGATGATTCCTCAATCTCTGGTTGCCGGTAGTTCGGTAGCCTTGGTAATCACACAATGCTTCTTATTGTGGACACATGGATCTCGGAAATCCATCCGCAGAGGCGAAAGGATCGCACTGTTTCTAGCGGTCATCCTTTCGAGCATCCTCTTACTCCAGAATTGTCGAGTTACTTTCTTGAGCTCCTTGTTTCTTCTCGCTTTTGTGTCAGGCGGCTCCTTGTTATTCATGCACCGTTCAAACATCATGAACTCGCTTGGTCCTTCGAAGTTGCCAACGAAACCCGGAAACCCAACGGTCCACAACCAATCGAGACAACATTCTACCACGCTTCTACAAACGCCTGGTGCAGTGCTGCCTTACAAGCCTCTAGCTGAAGGTCAGATACGGTTGCTCAAGTTCGCGGATGACGGAGGCTCTGACAGCGGGCCTCTTCAGTTTGAGCTCTATCACGCGAAACTGAGCCAAAGACCTGACTATGTGGCTTTGTCGTACTCTTGGGGGCAGGATGCTGCTCATGGGAGAGTAAGCATACTAGTGAGCAACCAAAGGTACGAAGTCTCCCAAAACCTTGCAGAGGCGCTTCGCAAGCTGAAGGAAAACAAAATCTCCACCGTCTGGGTTGATGCCATCTGCATCAATCAACGAGACACAATTGAGAAAAGTCGGGAAATAGTCAGAATGTTCGCGATCTACAGGATGGCAAAATTAGTCGTCGTTTGGCTTGGTTCTGATACCGGACCGGAGGAAGAAATGCGAGAACTCCTGAGGGCGACAGCTGATCTGGAAAAACCGGTCAATAAACAGCATCAGAATAGCAATCTCGGTTCCAACTTGGAAGCCCTTGAACGACTGTTGTTACAGAGATATTGGCATCGAGTATGGATTATCCAAGAGGTTGCAGCAGCAAAACGAGCAAAGATCTTCTGGGGCTCCTACATTTTCGACTTGCGATCACTGGAAATACTATTGCGGGAGAGAAGTCGTTCCACCGGCGAAGACGAGAAATCTCCTGGGCTTGCTCAGAAAGTTATATCTGTTCGGGCTGCCTGCCGAGAGCAGCAAAAGCCACGGCTGATGGACATTCTCGCAATGACGAGCATGTCCGAGACGAGCGTCTTGAGAGACAAAGTCTATGGGCTCCTTGGCCTTGCGTCAGATTGGGCTGATTTCGTTCAAGAGCCCAATTACTCACAAGCGGTGTCGGAGAAGGAGCTTTGCTTGGAGATGACATCCAATCACATCAATTGGTACAGCTCCGCAGACATCGTGTTCCTCAGGAGTGTGGACCACCGACAGACAGAGCTGCCGTCATGGTGTCCTGACTACTTCCACTTTCGACCGCACCAATTCGACCGAAACCTGATTCCCTACATATGCGGCCGAGATGTCAATCTGGGATGGGAGAGGAGGAGGGCCTTTGGCCAAGAGTCGCCAAATATGAACGAAGTCATCCCGGACACGTTCCACATCAACGGCGGCAAACTCACCCTGAAAGGTCAGTATATTGGCCGCATCTCAGCTTTGGGCACTTTGGTGGGAGACCGTCCAGCTTCTAGATTTTCCAGCCGCTTTTCTACCTCCGATATCACGGATCCTGACATTGGGAAAGCGTTCCGTCGGCTGCTGCTGATCTGCCACAACCAGTCTTTTGGCCTTCAACCGTCCTCGGCGTTCTTCTCGCTTCTCTTCTCGATGCCCGACCACGTCTTTCAGCACAGAGGCTACCTTAGGGTGAAAGGGTGGTTGGAGCGCCACAAGGACCTCCTGGGGAGATTCGAGGTGAAAGTGGCGCCGAGCTCGGACGCATACACCTTCATTCCGCGCCGAGGCGGCGGCCTGAGTCCCGCGTCCAAGGTCTTGCCCGAGTGGCGCGACTTCTTCAGCTTGAGCGAGGACAACACCATCAGCCGGAGAGGCGAGCATCCCCTCTACTCCATGCTCGAGTCCATCTCGTCCATCCTCGACGAGCACCTGCGCCTCATGTTCATCCAGGATCAAGCCCTTCTCGGATGGGCGCACCGCGACGCACAGCCCGACGACACGGTCTGGCATCTGGAAGGGTGTACGCTCCAAGCCATCCTTCGCAAGTCGGTGGAGCTGTCTGAGGAACAGGGCGAAGACATCTACAGACTCGTAGGCCATGCGTATGTCGACCCTGTGCTGGCTAGTGGCCGTTGGATGGCGAAAGAGACGAGAAGCAGGCTGGTGAATCTGTGCTGATATACACCTACGCTCTAAGACCCCGTAATTCCTCGAAATGAGAATCTCACATCGATGTTTTGGTCTACCCCGTATTCCCCATACATGCCAATCCAAATGCCATGACCAATGCCAATGCCGATACCATTACGAATGCAAGTATTCTAAATCTTGGCGCGCTCGTACTTCTTCCACAGACTCCGCGCCTTCAGCAGCGTGGGCCGAATGAAAACATTATCCGTCAACTCACTCTGCTTGGCCACGTCCAGCAGGCCCTCGTAGGGGGTCTGGTCGGCGCGCGCAAAGACGCTGTTGAGCTCGTACTCGGTGAAGCCGAAGGCGGCGACCACAGCGTCGGCGTGGGCGGTGGCGAACGCGGCGATGGCGTCCTGGTACGCGGCGCGCAGGCCCGAGACGTGCGCGGCCGAGAGGTAACTTTCGCCCGCGAAGGCGGCGAGGCCTTCGATCATGGCGTTGAGGGCGAACTAGACACAGAAGAGAGAGGTCATGGTCAGCCAGCCAGCCACCTAGCCCGATTTCGCACTTGAGGTGCCCATGGAATGGATGGCAACATATAGACTGCGTATCTTTGTGTGCGTCTTCGGAGAGAGGGGAGGGGCGAAGCACAGCTTACCACGTTCGCCAATGTCTGCATGGTCTCCCGGTCGTTCTGGGCAGTCTGCTTCACCTGAGCCTGCAGTCCGCGGAAATAAGTGAGATCGGCGTGGGCCATGGTCAGCTCGAATACGTCGTAGCTGGTGTCCTTGCCGGCAGCGACGTCGGTGATATGGCGTCGGGCGAGGACGGCAGCGCGGTGCTCGAGGAAGTCTCCCTGGACCTCAGAGTTGAACCACTCGTCCGCGCGGCTGCTGCTGCTGACCTGCACGCCCTGTGACATGCGACCGTTGTCTCTCAGACGTGCGAGGTACGAGAGCGCGCTGATCGATTGTTCGGATTTGCTGGAGGAAACAAACACAAGTCAGCTTCGCAAGGGAGACAAAAAAGGAAACGGGTTCAGGGCATGGGGGGTGGGGTGGGATATGACGTACTTCTTCCAGTGCTTCACGACGGCGTTGCCGATCTGCTGGGACAGGACGTATGTCTCTCCTTCATATGTCCTTGACGGGGAAAGCTGGGCGTAGAGGGACCCGAGTCCCGTGCTGGCCATGTTTCCTAACAATACCGGCTCTCAGCATTCAGATCTCTCTTTGAGTTTTCAGCAGCGTTATGAATCTGACTTACCGTGCCCGCCGCAGCTGAGACGGGCGACTTCGACGTCCCGCACGCCGTGTTCGCTAGCCCAGATCTTCGCGCCGACCGTCTGCAGGTGCAGGTCTTCAAGGCTCTCGTTGACGATGTTGTCGATGCGGGCCCTCATTTCCCGGCCGAGGAGCATCATGGCCACTGCCTGAACGCATGGGTTAGCACATGGCGAATAGCAAGGATATACAGGCAATAAGTAAACATCTCCCGCTCACCCGTCCCAAGGCAGGAAACAGCCGGCTCTGCACGCTGGCATACTCAATCACCTTCCTCTCCACGCCGTCCTTCGGGTTGAACTGCCTGCGGAACTGGGCGTACTTCAAGGCGATGACGACGGCCTTGGCGACCTCGATGCCCAACTCCTCGGACATGAGGCCGCGGATGATGACCATCGAGGTGTAGGCGTGCTTTGAGTTTTTGGCGGCGTGGTACGTGCCGTCGGCGTCCAAGGAGACCATACCCGCCAGCATGTTGGCGCGGGGGATGCGGCAGTGGGAGAAGGCCATGACGCCGTTGTCCATCGAGGCGAAGGTGCCCATGCCCTTCTCGCCCTGCTCGTAGATGCGCACGTTGGGCATAAGGGCGTGGGTGTTGAGGTCGCGCACCTGCACGAGGAAGACGTGGTTGCCCAGGTCGCGGCCGCGGACGAGCAGCCTGGCGATGACCAGGGCGTGCGTGGCCACAACGCCCAGCGACCCGATCCAGTACTTGTGGCTCGACAGCGTGGGCGAGTGGACGACGATCTCGTCCGTCGTCGGGTCGAATGTCGCCGTCGTCTCGATGCCGCGGACGTTGCTCCCGTGGCCCAGCTCCGTCTGGGCGTAGCAGCCGCTGATCTCGAAGCGCTCTGCCTTGGGGAGCCAATATGCTTTTTGCTCGGGGCTCATCTGGGCCTCGAGGTTTCTGATGAATACTGCCGTTTTGGGGACCTATCAGTAACCATTCTTCATCTCCTGGCGCGCCCTCTCTCTCTTTCTGCCCCCAAGGACCACTCGATTGAATTCCGATAGTCGTGACTTACTTCGATAATTCACCCCCATGGTGAGCTGATCGGCCGTGATCTTGGTCGCATCGACAAACTGCTGGTTCGACCAGCCGAGCTTGAACTTCAGCTCGAGCAGCTCCACACCCTGCTTGAGCCGCAGCGCCCACAGATCCTTCCGCGACAGTGCATGTGGGTTCGGCGGCTGGGTGAAGACCGGGTTCTGGGCGACGGCGGCCAGGATCTCGCAGCGGCGCTGGAGGCGTTGCTCTCCCCAGATGAAGTTGGCCAGCGGGGAGGTGCTGGGGGTAGCGGTGGCTGCCATGTTGTTTGCCGGTCTTCTTCTCTAGAAATCTTGAGGGATCTTTACGAGAGAGGCACACGACGTTCGACGTGTTGTATACCTTCTCTGACTATCGTCCTCTCCCAAGGTTATTAAACCTTCGCAAAGCGCCGAGCCGAACAACGAAGAGGAAACGCCGACTCCGGCAATGCGGCGCCAACTGCCGAGGCAATGAATCCATCCATGTTCACAGCGAGATAGTGACAATTCTTACACCTGACACGGGCATTAGCGGTCGACAGAATTGCTGCATGAGTCTCCTGATCTTACACAATTAGCCATTGAATACAAACAATGCAGAGCGTTACGGGTGGTATTGGTAGAGCAACGCCGAAGAAGACACAAAGGCTCCTCGGCGAAGGCACACCCTCAACGCCTTTGCGGACACAAGACAGACACGTGATATGGAAAACGTACTCGGAGCTCACGTGCGACTCACCCCGGGCGTGTCGCCTTTATAACAACGACTCACACCCCTTCTCACCCTTCGCACTCAGCTCGGTCATCTTTATACTCACCCTTTATCCCGACCCTGCTCTACCGCGCGTAGCGCCAGTCAGGGACTTAAATTAGCGGCGAGAGAGACAACACCTTTTTCGACTTTCAATGACTTTTGTCAGGAATGGATGCCCAGCCTGCCAGTAGACGTAGGTATCTCCCAGCATACAGTACTCGCATGGGAGTACTCCGTACTTAGCATTTGTCATGCTTCGAGGCCTGTAATGACCGAGGGTCAAGGTCCTCCTGAATACTACCCGTTTCGGTTAGTCTGCCTCGCCGCCTTTGTGCAGGCGTTATTCACCCTCTCTTCACCCGCAGTTCGCCCAGTTCACCCAGTTCACCCCCCAGCTCAGGCATCATATCTTGAGGGATAGTGAAGACGGATATGATATTTGTCTGTGCCTGGTACCCGACCTGCTAGTGCTAGCCCTACCCCGCTCTCCAGGAACCTATCTCGGCTGTACATTATGCACAATCGGAGACTTGATATCCCGACAATCGAAAAGTCAACAAAGTTGTCCGCGGGGAACTCTACTGATAATATCTGTAGAAGTGATTGGTAGGTTGACCTATCTGGAATGTCATATCTATCCCCGAGAAATTCTCTGGATTGTTAAAGCCCGGTCAATCGTTGTGGGCCAGGTGGACTACATTGCGATTGGGCCCTTTCCGATTGTATAGACGCTCCAGCTCCCGGCTTGCCTCGATACCAAAGGTTCAGAGAAACTATGCTGCCGCGCCAGGATTACTTCCTTGACCTAGCTGAGCATAGATCTCACTCTAGCTGTACTGGAGTACAGGAAGCCATCCAATAAAAGACATTCGACCGCATTCCTCGGCAAGCAAAATCCCGAAAGGAACCAGATACTTGAATTGCCCGAGGAAAATTGTTCGATCAACCAGGCGTTCGTCTTCCGCCGCGAACACTAAGAAGCGTCTCATCCCTTGATCAGGACAATCTCTCAAGAATATGCCGATGGTGTGGTCTCTAGAGCCCATAGTCTTGAAAACTATCTCTCGACAGCGGATTTAAATACGGTTGAAACTTTGATAGCCAGAATGATATCCGGTCAAGAATCACCCGAGTGAATGTCCACCGGAGAGGGCGATCGACAGCGGCTCGGGTCTATATAAAGACACGGAAGTCCTACTGATGCCATAGATCGAACATCAGAACGTTTCGATACCTGTTGAGGTGTGACTGCCAAAGCTTCGACTCGTGCAAGCTACCCGCGTGTAATCATGAAGCTTGCCATTCTATCGCTCCTCGCGCTGGCCAACGCCGCCGCCATTCCCGACTCAAGGCCGGCCAATCTGACGGTGCAACTTCCCCAAGGCTCCTACACGGGCCTCATCGACCCTAAGTATCCTCATACACGCCAGTACCGCGCCATTCCGTTCGCGGAACCGCCTGTGCTGGAGCGCCGCTGGACGCCACCGCAGAAGCTCTCGCCGTCTCCTGGCAAGCATCATTATGCCACCCGGTACCCGCCCTCGTGCGGGCAGTTCGTGACGTCGGTCATTTCGCTCTTTGACCTGCCTTTGTCCAAAGGCAATCTGATCTACAACGGCAACCAGAACGACTCGTCCGGCCTCGTGGGGGAGGCCACCTCCGAGGACTGCCTGTACCTGGCGATCTGGACGCCGACGAACCTGCCGCCACCCCCTAGCAAGGGGCTGCCGGTGCTCTTCTTCATTACCGGAGGCGGCTTCATCCTCGGCGGCGTCGACATCCCCTGGCAGATCCCGGACTCGTGGGTCGAGCGAACGCAGTCGCACATCGTCGTCACCATCAACCACCGGATGGACATCCTCGGCTTCCCGCGGGCGCGCGGCTTGGCGGGTAGCGAGCAGAACCTGGCCATGCTGGATCAGCGTGCTGCTCTCGAATGGGTTCGCGACAACATCGCGGCCTTTGGTGGTGACCCAGACCGGATCACATTTTGGGGCCAGTCAGCGGGATCCATTGCCGCTGACATCCATTCCTACGCGTGGCCCGACGACCCGATCGCGCAGGGCTTCTGGTTCCAGTCCGGGCTGATCTACAACGGCGTCAACCGCCAGGACCCGACGTATTCCAACTTCACCTTCGTGGCCAGCCAATTTGGATGCGACTTCCCGGGCCTGGACGACGGCGGTGCGGCCGAGCTCGACTGTATGCGCCAAGTGCCGTTCGCGCAGATCATCAACTTCATCGGCCAGTACGCGGACGCGGGCACGTCCCCCCCGATGAGATTCAACATGGTCATCGACGAAAAGGTCATTTTCTCCAACTACAAGGCCCGCGCGGCGGCGGGCAGGTTCGCGCGTCGTCCGGCCATTCTCTCGATGACGGCCAATGAGATGTCTTCCCTTGTCCCCTGGCCAGTGGCGAACCTGACCGAGGGGCCCTGGCAGCCGCCCGTCACCGAAGGCACCATCGAGGGTTTGGTCTGCCCGAGCTTGAATATGACCAACTACCGCAGCGACGTCGGCCTGCCCACTTACCGCATCCAATACGCCGGCACATTCCCCAACCTGAACTACTACAAATGGCTCGGCGCGTACCATGCCAGCGACATCTCCATCGCCTTCGGCACGTACCACTGCCTCGACGGCGTGGCGCCCTCCACGGACTTCGAAGCCGCCGTCAGCAAGAGCTTGCAGGACCATGTCCTCGCCTTCGCCGAGGATCCCTGGCACGGTCCGCAGAAAATGGGATGGATGCCCATGAATGCCAGCGCGCCAAATGGTGGTGATCTCCTCCGCATCGGCGCCGACGGTATAGTGGCACAGCATATCGATGGTAATGAGGTGGATGGAGTCTGTTTGGGGATTGGAGAGTATGATCCATTCCCGTGACGAGGGGCAGGGTTAGGTAGAGGACTTTGCACGAGGATAGAGGGAGAAACGGTTCTAATATAGATTGACCATTAGTCGAGCGCAGCATGAGTGTAAGGAAGAAATGGACGTAATCCACTTAAAGTACTCGCATCTAACCCCGATCCCGGTCGCGGTGACGCTGCTCTATCCTCCACCCCCTGTCTGACCAATGGGCGGGGGCTACTCGGCAAAGTTGCTAATTCTCCTTGACTCACTACGAGTATGTTATGGCAAAGTTGATAAGTGATAGCTAGATAAGGCAGAGTTCTCAGATTCTATTAACTGTCTCGACGGCGCGACCGAATGTGACCAGATTTGCGTCATGGATTCCGAACCACATACTAGTCAAGGCCATGCCAAAGCTGAAGGGCGGCCGTACAGGTCTCATCTGCTCCCGGCCTGCCTTCCTTGTCGCGCAAGAAAATCACGATGCAAAACGATAGATGCATCCCCCTCATGCTTCATGTGTCAAGCAAATGGCACTGACTGCGTCTTCCCACCCTCAACCAAGCGGTCACGAAGAACATCGGGCTATTCGAGAATGTCCTCCAAAGGAAACCCAGCAATCTCATCCCCACGTACTGCATCTCGGACGCAGTATCTCCCGTCACCTTCGCCGGCTCCATCTCCATCTCAGCGTGCGTTCTCGTCACACAACACTGCCCGAAGCGAGCCGGATGCGCCGATGATGACCGAAGAATTTTCAGACCACCACGAGCTTCCAGGCCCATCCTCTGGTCATCAAGACGACTTGGTCTCAGCGGTGATAGACTCGATTGCCAAATCTGGGGAAGGCAGCTCTCATGTTGTGAGTCCTGCAATCGCTGATGACGACAAAGTCTTCCAAGAGTACCTTTCCAATACTCCATATGGCCAGAGCGGACGGACAATCCGATTCCATCCTAACTCCTATAACACAAATGGGCCTTCGCGACCTATAGTTTTCAACACCATTCCAAAACGCGGATCCAGGGAGGCAGAAAGTCGAGCGGTGGCAGCTCAACGATGTGCAAATATCGAGAAATCCGTCGCTCCTTATCAGGGCGACCTGATAAATCTGTAAGTGTTCGGTGAAATCGAGCTTTCTGACCTCCGCTTATGGAGATGATGTAGCTACTTTGAAAAGATCAACGTGTCTTTCCCTCTCTTCGATGAATTGCTGTTTCGACGACTCCTTGCTACCCAAAAGGAAAAGATTTCTCCGGGTCTGCTCGCCAATCTGTACGGGAATACCTTGATATACTGGAACCACTCTCCAAAACTGAGGCATGTTCGTTGTCCTGATCACTACTCCATCTGGGTTCAGGCCGAGGACGCCCTGGTTGCCGAATTCAAATGCACGCCGGGGATTTCGACGATAATCTCCATCATCTTGAACCTTTCTGGCCGACCAAGCAGCCACATGTTAGGGAATGGCGCCCAGCTGGGCATGGCGGTTGCACTAGCAAATGCCTTTGGGTTGAATCGGGACCCTTCGGCCTGGAATCTGTCACCTACCGAGAAGAAGTTTCGAATCAGAATATGGAGGATACTGCTTGTGTACGATCGTTGGTAAGACATCCATTTTCTCTCTCTCTCTCACTGTTCTTTTGGTTCAAAGACACTAAAACTGGGCGTAGGTGCAGCCTGGCATATGGCACCCCACCTCTCATCCATCTCACCCAACACGACGTGCCAGCCCCGGCTGCAGAAGACCTCTACAATCCTGGCGCCTCCCCTGAACAGATATCTGCGGCTTCTTGCTTTGTTGCTTTCACGACCTTGACTGATGTACTAGGCCATTGCTTGGAGCTGGTCTATGAATTAGGGAATGACTTTTCCAAGAAGCCAGAGGCATCTCCATTTAGCCTCGAAAGCCTGCTGACCCAGTGGGAGGACTCATTGAATCCCACCCTTCGCCGGCTCATCATTCGGGGAACTGGCCTTGTCGGGCCTGGAGCGGCAAA